GAGGGTTGGCATGTATGGTAACATATGGCAACATCACTAACCTTGTCAAACACCTCAGAGTAAATCATATCACAGAATATGAGGAGTGTATGTTGAGGCGAACTGAAGAGAAGAACAGGGACAGGTGCTGCTAGGGCGAGACAGACGTCTCTCGCGGAGTCCTTTAGTGCTGCAGCCAGGCAAGGTGTTCAAATAGGCACAACTTCAGTTTTTTTATTTCTATATGATGAACTCTGCATTATTAAGTGATAAGAACAAGTAATCTGATGCCCTGTAATCATTATGACGCTATAATTTGAGATACAATAAATAAAATACGTTTTTGTACAAAGTATCGGATCAGTATTGTCGATACCACCCTGAATAGTACTTGGTATCGGATCGGAAAGGAAATCAGTGGTATCGTACATCACTAGTCAGTGGGTATTTCTATTCCTCAAAAATCTTGCCATCTTAAGAAAATGAGACCACCGTAGTGGTACGAAATAAAGTTTCTTACACTCCGCTCTGTTTATATTTATATTATATATAGTGCTCTTTACACAGCAAGTTAAAGACCAGAATATTAGAGTGAAAACCTGCCATGTATATGACATTTATGCTGTTTTTACATTACTCCAACATTACTGATACTTTACTCGACAAAGATTACATTAAGTTTAATTTCATTTAAATTAAATGCATTAAAGAGCTTACAGAACTCGAAAGACAAGCCGTCTCAGCATTTCAACAGTTTGTCTGATAACACTTCTGTTTTTTTCAAGGTTTGTTCCATTGCTGTGGACTCTTATTTTAACACTGAATAAGACACGGCTGAGTTCTCTGTATTTATGAAAACAGAGAACATGCAAGATTTTAATCTATGAATCATGCAGCAGTTTGTTAACGGTGCCTCTACAAAGCTGGATCCACAGGTCGCCAACATTATGTGGATTAAAAATAACTTCAGTCTTTTTTTTTACATTTCAAAGTAGCTTTTTGGTGTCATGTAGGTCAACAAACTGCTTTTCTTCTGAATTTGAATGTTGCATTAAAGCGTAAGCTTAACTTAGCAGAGTGGTCTGAGCATCTAAATATATAATTCTGTGAAAACTTAAGTACAGACAAGATGAAAGAGCCTAATGGAGCTCAAGTACTGATAGCTGAGGCAGTATTATTGGCCTTAACCTGCTGAGTCATACTTGATAGAAACAAGTGATATCATTTAAAGAGTCGAGATCCAACTGTTTACGTCCCAGAAAGAACAGAAATGGCAGAAAAAACATCATCTGTAATCCAGCTTTGCATGTAAAATCCCATCATGTCTTACAGCTTTCATTATAGAGGCAAGTTTAAAAAGATACTGGGCCTGTTTTGGGTTAACGTGTAGCCTTAGTTTCAAAGAATAATATCAAATAATATCTGTTTAAATCATCAAGCAATTAAGCAAATACGGGGTGACTAAATAGGTCCAAGCTTCTTTTTATAATAGTTTTCATAAAGTTTGATAGACAGAACAGTCTAATACACTGGGAATAAGAAAACTGAATTGTTGGATATGGGAGGTCTTAATCTTGCAGTCTGTGAAATATTAAACATACAGTTCATAGCCAGAAATCATTAAAATATCAAGTAAGAAAACTAGTGCTCTGAAGTTGGTGATAAGTGTGATAACCTGTGGATATGATGAACAAGCTGTGCTGAACAGTGTCTGAGACCATCTGGAAAGCATTTTCATCATTAATCGATAAGCAGATATTTTTTTAATTTTATTATTACAAAGTCTGTATTGACAGTTGAGTACATACATTTTACATGTAATCTTATATTCATGCATCCATGTACGAAAAGATACAACTTCTGTTACAGAAGTGCATAAATTGTTGCAAATTAAGAAACATATGTCTCTATTTCAGTACATGGATGTTTGTCTTTTGTGATGATGTCTATAAATATTTATACACATATATACATATGTGGCATCACTGTACACACAGCATCTGACAACTTCCCATTCTCACTTAAATGTACTAAAATACGACTCTGAAAGACTGCAGAGTTTCCTCACACTGCTGACATTCTCTCTCGGTCAGTTAAAATTAGCTCACATGTTCACTGCTGAAACTGCTAACATGACAGAAAGCAAAAATGTGCTGTAGTTGTAACTGAGTGGTTTTCTCCATTACAGCCACTGTGTTTGGTCAAGATGTTTTATGATGAAAATGTTTTGACTTATTACCTAAAATCGATTAAAGCAGCATAGTGATGTATACTGTAGCAGACAGAATTTATAATAAAGATTAGTGTAAATTGAACAGGAACAGAGGGCCTCAGTGTAGAGCTCCACCACACAGTTAAGCTATTTTGGGCCTCTGACCATCCTGGATACTCATAGGTAAGGTGGCTTTTATTTCAGAAACACATATATTTTCAAAATGAGTGTTATGGTGGATTATGCTGCTCCCCACTACTCCTGGAGTGGTTTGAATGTTGTCACACTGTGATGCTGTCTAATTACACACAAAGGTTGATGTCAGTGTTATCCTGAACACTTTCCCTCCTGCACATTCGTCATATATGCTGTATACATACAGGTGTAAGTAGAATATTCAAATATCTCTGTAGGTCCAGAGAATGCATATCTCGACATATCTCAGCATTAATATTATCATAAACACCACAATTGTAATTATAAGCCAAAAACTGTAGATGATACTAAATAATACAGTCTAACCTGAGAAGAGATACTAGCTGAACCGTCATAATTTTATCATTAGAAAGTCAGACACTGCCCTCTGCTGGATTCAACAGATAACACATAAGCCACTCTAACACCTGTTTCAGCATAAATTGCCCTAATAACAAAGAAATGTCACAAAACATGGTTAAAGTTTATTATTTGTCTGTTTTCTACAACAGCAATTTCTTTTGTTAATGCAATATGAAGACAAAAGTTTTTAGCTTTTTGCACTTGTAACATTAGCAGTGTAACTGAACACATGTGCCATAAGAACAATGTGGCAAGCACAGCAGCTAGCTGCAACCTAATTAACAAAAAACAGAAGTATTAACAGAATTCTTGATAAAAGTAGAACTCCCTGGTTCTTTAAATGCATAAAACAGTTGCTACCAGTCCAAATTTCTAGCTACAGTTTAAGGCTAGATATGGATTGCAGATGTTGTTAGATTTTTTTTTATACAGTTCAGTTGTGCACTCAAATGTGCTCTAATGTAGTCAGTCAACACAATATCAGATGCCAACTGGAATAACACAACTTTCTGAAAGACGTCCATGAAAAATGTAATAATTTCAGTGAAAATGCACATTAATGGAAAGAAAAGGTCAGATCCTTTTCTTTCCATTAATGGCAGATCCTGTGTGGTGTAACATTAATTATGACGAGTGATACACGATTATGTCCTTCACATCTAGGAAAAACCCCATAAACTCAACAATCGCGCTTGCAGAGCTTCCCTAATTTATCGTTTTTTTTTCTTTTTACTGAGACAGAAAAAAAATATAAAATAGTAAAATGTTCAAAATTCAGAATGAAAGATTCCTCTACAGTTGTTTCACACATGAATCTGTGAATTTTACAACTAATGTTGGTGATGTGGATTTTCAGTTGAAAGGTTAAAGGTCAAAGGTGAGCTGTGTGTCTGTGTTACAGCAGTCTGATTCTCTGACTTCAAAACAGTAATGCTTCCTATTTTTTTTAGGATACGGGCTATTTCAGAAACAGATCCAGAACACAGACCTGGAGCAGTTCAGGTCTTTGTGGTTTAGCTCACTGGTTTAGCAGACACTCATATGTGTTATGGCTGGAATGCAATGTCCCGGGTTCAAGCAGTCCTGTTTGTCCTTGCTTTGTGTCTTCCCAGGCATCCATGTTCATGTCTTTGAGACAGATATGCTTGTTTTATTGTCGGACCTGTAGGTGGGAATTAGCTGGATGAATTTCCTTTATTATTCTCATGCAATCATGCAAACATGTGAGAGGTCTTGTACTGGCACCATCAGGTCTCTGTAATTTTACCTCAAGCCAGGTCTGTGTGTATAACTTGGAATATGATTTATTGTGTTCATTGCACATTTTTATACAAATACTCAACCATCCACACCAAAACATGTGGCAGATCCTATGTGGTGTAACATTAATTACATATAAATTAATTTCAGAAACAAATCCAGAACACAGACCTGGAGCAGTTCAGGTCTTTGTAGAAGTCCTCAAACATGCATTATTTTAAATGGCCACCCACGGGTGATGCATGGCTTCTAGTCTTGCAGTAGTTTATGGGACAAACTTGACCTCTGTAAACACTTTCCTGATGAGTTTATGCTCTAAGTTACTGATTTGTGGACATGTTGAATAAAAAGTAAATCTTATAAAATCAAAAGTAAATCTTTCAAAAAAGAAGATTGTCCTCCTGGATGTTACTGAAAACCAACAAACAACCAAAGATGTTCTATTAAATACTTTGTGGTACCTAGAAAAACAGCTTCCACACACCTTTAAGGAACTTTGTGGCTGGGGATATACAGTTACCAAAGACAGTTAAACCGAAAGCTAAAAAGTGAATAAATGAATAAAAAATGAATTTGGGACAGGGGGTATGATTAGAAACAGCAGCCAAAATTACATCAATAATTTGCTGCTGTTAACTATGACAAAATTATTGTAATCAGCCAGTGTATTTTCCCCTTGTTGATACTGCTCCCCAGCAGACCACAGCATGGGCAAGCATGCTAGTAGCCACTGGATATTAAAACATCTGTATCATCGTTGATGTTGTCAACCTTTTCAGGAAGTAAAGCATGGAATGTCTGTTCCTGTAGATAAGGTTGGTTTTTTGAGTCCAGTCCAGTTTGATTTCCAGTAGGAGCCTTTTATACTTCATGTAAGTATCTTCACTCTTTGACACTTACTAATTCAGAGACTGGCAAATAACATCATATTCTGATAATCCGTCTGTTTTCTGCAGGGACATGTATGTTTGCTCTTCCTCCTTTGGTTTCATCTTTTTTCTTGAGTTCCTGTGTGAGAAAGTAAATAGACTGGGTCTTAAAAAAAACTACCCAATGCGTCAACAGACCCTTTAAAACATGAAATTAAGTGTAATAACTCACCAAAAATGCACAAAGTAGATTATAAAGATGACACCGACAAGGATAGATACAGCAGCAATGGATACGAGAAATTTTACACTAAGATTGCCTGACATCTCTTTATGCTCTACAACTTCTGTGCTGGTTACTGAAATTTGGGAAGAAAGAAGAGGAAAGTGCAAAATTACATGTAGTATAACATCACATGATTTACACTGTTATTGCAAGGGTTGGCTCAACAACTTGTCAGCACTGATCTACTCCTACAACAACCACAACATAATTGCACAACTGAAAGGAAAAAACTTTAGGAAAAAGTCAATGTCCGTGTTATTTTTTTGAATTATACGCAGTACATGCAAAACATGAACTCATTATCGTCTAGAAACATTGGTCATCATAAGAAATGTGCTAATTGAAAAAATTGAAAGCAGGGGTCAGAACTGTAGCCCATACCATGTTTTTCAGGGAAACTTTTACGGATGAGTAGATTTTCTCTTGTTTCCCCTTGTCCATTGTTACTGACACATTCAACAATGCTGTTGCTATGGGTTTTTTTTTTGAAGGGAGACTGACAGTGCCGTTGACTGTGTGGTTAAAGACAGTAGTAGTAACCAAGTACTCAGTGTGGATGTTCAGGATCGGCCATTTGATTGCAGGTAAAGGAAACCCTTCACTGATACACACACAGGTCAAAACCTCTGACTGAAACATACATCCGGAGCCATCCTGGATCTTTAAAAAACCCTGTTTATTATTTATTGTTGAATCCTATTAGTGGTTTCAAATGGTTCCTAAATGCATATTTCAAATTTGTATTGTTTTTTTTATTATTAAGATAGTTTGCCAGGAATGGTTGTTTTATTGTATATTAAACATTGTCTCCATTTTAATCAATAAATGTTGTTTGTTTGTTTGTTTGTTTTTAGTGCTAGCAGTCAAGGCCAACAATCTAAACATTTCTAAAGATTTCATTGACAAAATGCACAATGTTGAGATGGTATCACATATTTGAAAGAGTGAGAAAGGAGAAGTTATTCAAAAGACTTGCTGAGTAATCTAGCATTAGCACAAATTTAAGAACACTCCAATTTACCCACCATTGTTGCACCGAAGCTCCGCAGCTATTCTCATCCTAAGTTGTTTTTGTAATAATTAACTTAAAAAAAATGTGTTTTTTATCATACAAGACAATGTTCAATGACAATCAAATATTCCATCATGTTATAGTATGGTTTGATTGTGTCACCATTAGACAGTGCTGCAATTAGTCAGAATTATTCACCTCCAAAACATCAGGAAAATTCAACTGGAGCTGAAAAATGAATAAATAAATATAGCAAATTCATCCTATGTAAGTATGCAGTGGATGTGAATGGCTGCTTTGAGAATATTTGTGTCCATCAAATTTAATGCATGGAATAAACTGATTTTGCACGTCCAGCATGTAAAAGCCTTTATTCTGGTAATTTTTGCATATGTATTGTGGTCTAAAACTCTGGTCTTTCACAGTAAACAATGAGTACAGTGTGTGAGGCGAGCTACCGCTGACTCGGCTTTCACTACCATTAGCAAGTAAACAAGCTTAGCATTGTACTAGATGAGCATCTTGGCCAACATGTTAGATGCAGAGAAAACAGAGTATGAAAAGTCATTAATAACTCCTTTAGTACTTTAAAAATGAAAGCTATGACCATGATGGTGAGGGGACAGCAGCTGTGCTCACTTCCGATAAAATAAAACAGGCAAGTTGACCAAACTCAGGCTAATCCAACACGTTCAGATCAGCATCTATGAAAATGTCTGAATGTTATGTTTAAACAGCTTTTTTGCCAACATTCCACCTTCATTTTTCATTCCTAATTTTAATCCTACCTGTAGATATTAACACTAATCATCAACCTTTTATTTCAGCTCACGTTTTTGTAATGGATATATTTTAGTATACTTACAAAAACCAGATGTAGGCTTGTGTTTCTGCTAGAAATATATTCCGTCAAAAAGCATAAAGTTGTGTACTCACATATCACTGTGACGTTGACTTTGTCCTTCAGGGTATTGTTCATATATTTAGCTGTGCAGACGTACTGTCCAGCATCTCCTGCTGTTACATTGGTGATGACAAGATTGGCTGATCCAGTGTCAATGTGAAGAGTTTCATTGCAACCAAGTTTAGACCAAATAATCAGAGATGGAGGGAAACTGTGAACATTGCAGGTCAGATTCAGAGCCTCACCGTCCCTGACAGTTGTAACACCAGTGATGTAAACCTCCTTCACATCTATGAAACAAATACACATAAATCACAATCATGTAGTTACCATAACTCCAAAATTCTTGCAAGTGTAAAGATGTTCCTGCAAAATTAGATAGATTTTAGGGGGTTAAAGTCCACTCGAAATCATAAATGTACTCACAGTTTACATTCAAACCTGAAGTCTTTTCTGTAGTCGTTTCACCTGTGAAGTGGATTTTACAGGTGACATTGGTGTTGTGCTGTTCAGCTGAAGGGTTAAAGGTCAAAGTTGAGACATGTCTCTGTGTTACATCAGTCAGATTCTCAGTCTTGAAATCAGTGCTGTTTCCTGTAATGTAAGATTCAGTCCCTCCTGCTCCTCTCCATGTCCAGGTGATTTGAGGAACAGATCCAGAGCAGAGACCAGGAGCAGTGCAGGTCAGTGTGGCCTGCTGTCCCTCTGTCAGTGTGGGAATCATTACTGTGGGCTTTTGTTTAAGACCTAATGGAAATACTGGGCATTAATGCAATCAAGTGAACTGCCTGACGTTTATTGACTACTTGGATTTTGGGCTCAGATAATGAGACATTTGGTAAAAATGGTTAATGGAAAACACTTGTTTTACCAGGAACTGCTTCAGTTCCTACTAGCTACCAGTATTAACAATTTCCTAAAAATGAATTAATACTTCATTAAGACCATAAAAATACTAAATATGTTGTTGTACATGACTGAATATTGTTTTTCTACATGATTGATCTTGGAATAGCTTTTCATACCTTTAACAGAGACATTTACCCTTGGATTGATTGAAGATGCATTTTTTTTCCCATTCCATTCTCCAGTAACTCTGAGCTGATATGATCCAGAATCAGACACTTTCAGATCATTAATGATGATGCTGCAGTTTTTCTGACTCACATCGGACTCCAAACGTGACACTCGTCCTTCAAACCCAGACTGAACATTTTTTTTGTTCTTGTTACTGTGAAATATTATGTGAGCATCACTACATTTTTTAGACGCTTCGCATTTGTACCAAACTATATGTTTGGGTGTAAAGTTAGCAGCAGTAGTGAAAGAACACGGGATCACAACACAGAGTCCAGCCTCTGCTGTTAGTTCTCGCTCACTCAGAGTCACACAGTTTCCTTTGCCTCTACAGTGTTGTCGTCCCCAGACTGAGGTAACTGTTAATGCAAAGGGAAAGATGAAAGGTTTCACATTTCTTATCTTATTATATGTGCAGTTAACAAAAGATTTTTTTATGACATACAAGTCAACAGATAGCAATGGCACTGTTAAATTATGTGTGAGTGTGAATAAATGCTTTTTATCTAGATTCATGTCATGAAAATAGTTTCACATACAGATATATACAAAAAATCAGATTTGCAGAAATACAGGTTTACAAACTAGCAGACGCAAACCTTTGTCAGCACTGCTGCCTCTTACAGAGAAAAACAGAGTTGACCAGATGAGAACAAACATCCTGGATATTCGTTGCTCAACACGTTCAGTCTCTCCTTCCACAGAATAACTAATCAAGATGATAAAGAAAATTAAAGGAATAAAGGAATTAAAACAAAATTTAAAACACAGGAAAAGTTATCTTCTTACTACTCAGAAAATAAAGTCGCATATTTAGTTATGCAGTATTTTGCGATTAAAGATCTTTATGATAAAAATCTTCTTCATATTCATCTAAATAAAAATGATCCTTACAGGGTAAACATACCCCTATCATAAATATATGTATATTGCCAACCGTATTTAATGAATGCAGAAGATCTTTAAATTTTGCCAACAGCACTGCTATAAATATAAAAACCTTTACATTCAGATTTAAATTTTTAAAAAGATATTTTGAAATATATTAAACAGTTTACGTGTTTCGTCTTGTTCTTCGTCAGTCTTCTCTCCACACTATATCTGCTGCCTTTTTGGAGCTGAAGTTTCTCTTCCTCTCTTTTCTGTTTCTTCCGTTTTCCTGCAACAACATTTCAGAAAGTTTGTCACCACCCCCATAAGCACTACAACAGATACAATTATTATCTTATATCACACAATGTATGTTTTATATTTTTATCACAAAATGTCAGTCAGTGATCGATCCTGAACGTCCTACCCAGCGTGATAAATACATTTTACAGGGTTTATTTATCGGATAAAATACGTTAAATCACCGTTATCACTGGCCGGCCCGGAAACAGCGGGGGTGTCCAAATTCAGAGGCTGCTTCCTCCTGAGGACCCGGCCTTCGCGGTCTAAAGAAAGCCGGGTTGTACGTCACGAGCTCCCTCGGTGGAGGGTGAATACAACCGGGCGCTGACGTAAACTCTCGACCGTCTCACACTTCTGCTTAAT